TATGACCGGTGGCGTTGGAATTGAAAGACCAAGTTCTTGAAGAAGAGAGCATATCCAGTTCAATTCCGTCAAGGTGTTAGCCACGGATCTGTATTCAGCCTCAGTGGAAGACCTTGCAATGCTCCGTTGTTTCTTAGATGACCACGAGACAGGATGCTTGCCGAGATAAACAATGTACCCATTTGTGGAGACATAGTCGTCGGAGTCACCAGCCCAGTCAGCATCAGTGAAGGCATGAAGTGACCTCGTGCTGCCTCGTCTTAGTAGAATCCCATAAGTAGTAGTACCCGCCAAGTAGCGTAGTACACGTTTAGCCGCAGTCCAATGTTCAGCAGTCGGAAGATGCATAAACTGAGACAACTTATTAACGGCATATGAAATGTCCGGTCTCGTAAATGCTAGATATTGTAGACTACCCACCACGGTTCTATATTCCGTGGGATCCGGAAGTCTCGTGCCACTACTCAACGTCAGCTTCGGAGAGGAGACCATTGGTGTAGTGACAGGTTTTGCACCAATCATGTTCGTCTTGGCAAGCAAATCAAGGATGTATCGTCGTTGGCTCAAGTGAAGTCCAGCAGGCCCTCGGTTGGCCTCAATACCCAGAAAATAATGTAGTTCCTCATGATCTTTTACAGAGAAGCGCTTGGCAAGGGCATCAAGTGTTTGTTGTAGAAGGTCATTGTCATTGCCAGTGACTAAGATATCGTCAACATAGACTAGCATATACACAATAGACTTTCCCTTTTTGAGAATAAACAATGAGGTATCGGAGACGGAATTAATAAACCCAAATTGAATTAAGTAAGTTCGCAGCTCAACATACCATGCCCTTGGCGCTTGCTTGAGCCCATAAAGAGCTTTACGAAGACGACACACATAGTTTGGGCGATCAGTATCAACAAAACCAGGCGGCTGCTGCATATAAACTTCTTCCGTGAGAGTACCTTGAAGAAACGCGTTATTAACATCAAGTTGTCGTATAGGCCAGGAGCAATCGACTGCAACACCGAGCACAATGCGAATCGTGGTTGACTTGACAACTGGACTGAAGGTATCATCATAGTCAAGACCTGGTCGTTGAGTATAGCCTTTGGCGACTAAACGGGCTTTGTAGCGATTGACTGTGCCGTCGGGGTTGTATTTGGTGGTGAAAATCCAGCGACAACCAACAATGGTCGTGTTGCGAGGCGGTGGAGGCACAAGATCCCAAGTGTGGTTGACCAATTGAGCATTAATCTCGTAGCACATAGCTTTGCGAAATCGTTCATCCTTGAGTGCTTGGACGGCGGTCTTTGGTTCGGTGGTGGGTAAGGCCTGTAAAGCAAGGGCATATTTTGTGTTAGGTTTCGAGATGCCGGATTTTGCACGAGTGGCCATGGTGTGAGTATTGGTCGGGTTAAGGGGAGCAACATTGTCAGAGAAAGATTGAGGCAGGGAAGAGGTCGAGGAAGACGAGGGTGATGTGGTGGATGGTGTGGAGAGGAGGATGTGGAGGCCGAACCATGTGAGGATTGTTGTTGGGCCGAATTAGAGGTTTGTGTTTGGGATGAGGTGTTTGTTATTGGGCTGGTTGGGGAAAGGTTTGGGTGCTGGGCCGTGGGTTGCGGCCCATTTTCAATTGGAGCAGTGGGCTCAGAGGAGGAAGAAACAGAAGGAGTTTGAGAGGAAGAGGACGATACCTGGTTCGAGGTAGAGGCGGCGGATGAAGGAGCCGGCGAGGATGACTGGTGAAGGCCGGAGTTCGGGGGTCCCGGAGGCGTAACGAACAGCGGCGGTGGTACGACGGAGTGAGTTGGCCACTGAGGCGAAGCTGAGGTTGTGACCAACGGCTCCGTACGAGTTGAACGATGAGCAAAGGGGAATGTGGTCTCATCGAAACGAACATGACGCGAGACGTAGAGTCGCGACGTAGGCACATGAAGGCATAAGTATGCACTTTGGGTCAGCGAGTAGCCCAAAAACACACATTGTAACGAACGGTCTTCAAGTTTGTGGTGATTATACGGACGAAGCCATGGATAGCAGGCACATCCAAATATACGGAGTTTATCATAGCTTGGTGGCTTCCCAAACAGACGTTGATATGGCGATTGAAGCGATAGAACTGGCGTCGGAAGACGGTTAATTAAGAAGACAGCGACCGCAAAAGCATATGGCCAGTATGTCTTGGGAATGGACGCCGTAGAGAGAAGAGTAAGTCCCATCTCCACCACATGTCTGTGTTTTCGTTCAGACAACCCATTGTGTTCTGGCGTATGAGGCGGAGAGGTGAGATGGGAGATGCCATGTGTGACGAGAAAGGACCGTAAGGCAACGAACTCGCCCCCATTATCCGTGTAGAATGCCCCAATCTTCTCTCGGAACCGATTCTCAACTAAGCTCTTGAATGTAATAAACGTGTCTCTCACTTGGGATTTTTGTTTGAGAGGATATAGCCAAGTATAGCGTGTGTAGTGATCAATGATAAGGAGATAATATTTAAAGTTGTCTTGTGAAAGAATAGGAGAGGTCCAAACATCAGAAAATAATATCTCAAGAGGTCGAGAAGATGTTAACGAGGATTGATGAAAAGGAAGCTTTTGGCTTTTATTGAGTAAACAACTAGTGCAAGATAAGAGTTTTTGAGAAGAAACAGGAAGTGAAAAAGCTGAAACAACAGTGTTTAAAATAGAAGTAGAAGGGTGTCCCAAGCGAGAGTGCCATGATGAGAGGGGAGCTTTTGAACCGTGAGTAGCCATGAACGCAGTGGCAGCCGGAATCTTCAATGGCCATTCATACAGCTCCTTTCTAGTCTTGCCGTGGAGTAATGGGACCCCCGTGCTCAGATCCTTCACCTGAAATGATGCGGGAAAGAATTCCACGGAAACTCGATTAGCATTGCATAAACGATAGACAGAAATTAAGTTTTTATGAATATTTGGGACACATAAAACTTTATTTAAATATAACAAGCGATTGTTGGTGGAGAGAGATGTGGAACCCGTGTGTGTGATTGGAACAGCGGAACCGTCTGCAATCGTTACACTGGTGTCACCTTGAAAGGGTTGATGGAGAGACAAGTTCTGCAGGTCCGAGGTGATATGATGGGTGGCTCCACTGTCCATCACCCATGGATCAGCTGAGTAGGGAGAGCCAAGAGTAAGGTTTGCTCGAGGCTGCCACGGAGTAAAAGGAACCATCTGAGACGGACCAGCCATATTGAGACGCCCCAAAAGTTGTGGACAGCGTTTCGCAGATTGACCCTGGACGCTACAGATCTGACAACGACCTAGGTACGGCTTTGGAGTACGTTGATCATTGCGGTTGCCGGATGGAGACCCAAACTGATTAGAAGCATAGTAGTTGTTGTTGTTGTTGTTGTATGCACCATTGTTGTTCCTTGGTTTAGAGTTGTTTTGACCGGTACGGTTGGGGTTGCGTTGGTTGGAGACCACGTTCGCAGCGACAGGAAACTGAGAGATAGCCGCCTTGGACAAGAGACGAGCTTCATGATTCAGGAGACGCTCACGGACATAGACGATGGAAGGCGAGGTATCACGACCTTCCACTTAGTCCACAATGGGTTTATACTCCTCAGGTAACCCATTGAGGATGTGCTCGATTTGTTCTTCATGCTCCATTGGCTGGCCTAGACTGGCAAGTGTGTCGAGGCGCATGGTGATACCTTGAAGGTAGTCATCAATGGAGCGATCACCTTTGGTCCAGACCTTCAACTGATCACGCAATTGTTTGACATGACCACGGCTGGGTTTGGCATACGTATCGGCGAGGGTTTCCCAGATCTCGATGGCGGTGGTGGTGCGGGACAGAAGCGACTGAACCGAGAGAGAGATGGAGCCGAGGAGGGAGCTGTAAAGCAGCTGATCTTGGCGTTGCCAGAGAGAGAATGCTGGATTCGGCGAGACTATGTTGTTCGTAGTGAGAGTAGGCGGCGGAACCACGAGAGATCCATCGACGTGGCCAACAAGACCATAACCAGAGAGAAGCGCATGAACCTGCAACTTCCATATGAGATAGTTTGTGGCCGTCAGTTTGGTGATGTTGGCCATGTTGATGTTAAGTAGGGTTTGGTTGTTGACGACAACGGCGTCGGTAACAGTGGTGGGAGAAGAAGTGTCGGAGGAAGCCATAGCTTGTAGGAATGAAAGAAATTTTTTTTTTTTCTTTTTTTTTCTATAAAGATCGAATGGCTCTTGATACCATGTAAGTGATTATGAAAGTGATATCTTATTATTAACAGCTAGAGACTCTTATATACACGAGTACACAGCTAGGGTATTACACAAGACATTTAAAGAGAAGATACATATTAACATATATAGTATCGTGATGTACGCAATCATGGATATCAATCAACGATATGATTATATCTCTAATAGGTAACATTAATTAAATGGTAAATAATTTATCTTTAGTTTTAGACTATGATCGAATCCGTATACAATTCTTAGTTGCCATAAAATTTGAAAGTGAAGAAAATAAAACATACCTAACATATCCTAGAGATTTAGTTTTGCTTTTGATCTAATCCATAAGAGAATGCTATTTATTTAATTTATGTTATTCTTGTTGGAAAGACAATGAATTATTGATATGCATGTCCTATGCTTCTCTTACATAAATAATTGATAAAGTTATTCAATGTTGGTACTATATATATAATGTATTATTAATATTCTAATGATTACAAAACAACAAATTCTGATGAATCCAGCTATATATACGTTTAATCTGTTTTAGTCAAGAAAATCCAAATCTTTTTTTCGGCAACAAAATTGAAGTCCTCCCAATGATCAATTTATAGGAATAAGACCTTTAATATTCTGTTATTAAATCCAACCTGATTTGTTTTACATCTAATGTGCAGTGAGCGTAAGAAGCGGTTGATTAATAAAATAAAAGATCCAATAATATTAAAAACAAAATAAAGAAAGAAAAGATTAATAGTATTTGGAGCTCTTCTCTTCTCTGTCTATATAATGACAAAGAGGTCTCTTCACATTCTCACTACTCTCAAAGTTTTCATTTGCTTAGATCTTTATATAGAGAGATTTCAAGAAAATCAAGAAAATGATCTCAGTAGTGATTATAACTGAGCTACTAGTTGAGTACACGACGGCTCTAGCTAAACTCACCGCCGGGATTCTACCACGGCGTACCGGAGATAGAAACGCCGTAAGGATCGGTGGTTTCCTCCTTCCCTTACCACCTGCTTCCACCTCCACCATTCCTGATTTCTCTTCTCATCTCGTCGACTTCTGATTTTCTTTTCTTTTTGGTCTCATTACTAAGTTTTTGACTTGTGATCTCTATGATCTAATCTATGAGAAGCAGACGACTGAGATTTTTTCCGAGTGTCTCGTCGTTGTCTTCAACCACATAGAGCTTTTTTTTTGTAAATCCGTATCTAATGTTATATAGAGATGATGATATCATGGTTTTGAAATACTTATAGTTTCACCGGAGTCTTTTGTTTTTTTTTTTTCAATGTAATTTTGAGTTTTTGTAGTGTTTTAACATTGTCGTTAAAGCCTATGATCCTGATCGGTAATTTCATAATTAGATCTCTGTTCGAACAATGACATCTTGTGAGCTTTTGTTTTTTATTCGGTAGCTCTCACAAAATCACAAACAAGGACCATTGGAATCTCGAATTCGATTTTACTTCGATTACCTACTTGAAGTCATTGCTCACGTCAATAAAAAAAAAAAAGAAGTGAAAGGCAATTTGTTCAGTAATTAATTTTCTACTTATTTTGTATTAAAAAATATACTATGAAGTAGCCAAGTTGTTAACTAGGTCGGAGTGGTATTATTAATTAATTATGAATTGGTTAAAGAGTTTGAACGTTCGACTAATGTTAATTTAATGGAGAATTTGTAACGTACGCCATCTTTATAAAATCGTAAAGAGCCATTGAGCCAAGTGTTACTGACTACACTAATTCCAAAGCAACTAGTTTACTACACATATTAATAGTATATGTTTACTACTGATTCAAGTGAGTGAAACACGAATCAAGCGTAGAGAATAGTAATATTTTGATTACCTTTATTTCTTCTCTATTTTTTTACCAACCGCCAAGGTAAATTGTTAATCTTTCACAAATCACAACTATACAGTATATCACGTTACAAGAAAAAAGAAAAGAAAAATATATTTTTTCAATATACATACATATATGATAGTTTGTACAACTTTGTAGTTGGTACTTGGTAGTGATAATTAAATGAGAATGTATATAGGCAGAAAAAGAAACTACTAGAGCAAGATCATTGTGAACCTTTTAAATTTTGCTTTTAACAATATTTTGCTCTTCAAATGATAAAAGCTTCAATTCAATTTTTTTGCTCTTAGTTAAAAGATTATTCTTACCAATAATCACTTTTTGTTCTTAATTAAGAAACTATCTTTACTCTAAGAGATTACCAATAATCATGGTCTAATGATGTTATATGATTTATATATATATAAACTATAGAGATGGCCATTTTATATTTAAATGTGAAAATTAAATAAATAAATAAACACATCACTAACATTACTTGTGTTCCATGTCTTCAATGTCCCATTTTTTTAGAGTTCTCGTACAAAAAAATCTATTTTTTAAGCCTAAACTTACTCACTCAATAAAGTCAATAGAATGGTAAAAACGTTACTTCACTCGACTATTAAAAAAAAACACAAAACAAAACATACAAGTTAAGTCGGAAATCCAAGACTAAACAGAAGTGCACGGTTCAACTCTTTGGACGACGTCTAAGGTTGTTGATATATATCGTTTTTGAAAAATATGTTTGAAAGAAAAAAAAAAGTAGATTGGTGTCTACATGATGCTAAACAAGTAATGCCTTCTTGTCTTACTACCATATAACAGCTTCTAATTAGTAGATTCGAAAATTCCAAACATTTTGGTATATATAAATTACATGGAAGAATTTTTATATACATGAAAGCTTTCCACACTTCATATAAAAAGTACTAAATCTCAAAGACTTTTCATTTTTTTTCCTAAGTACACAGTTTTGGACCTTATGTTTAATATATTTTTATTTGAAAGATAAAGTAAATTTCAAAGTCATTTTCTAAGTTCATTTTTAAAATATCACAGAGAAATTAAAATAATAATAATGTGTGGCAAGGCGAGGTATGAACAGTGTGGGGAAAACAATTGTTTGGTCGAGATTTTTGCCTTTCGCTAGATCATGGCATTGGCCGGCAGGTGGGTCACAAAAACTCTCAAAATCTGATTACAAAATTACAAACATAAAAATATTTAAACAAATGGTTTCATCAGTAATAGACCACCTTCGCAATCACAATCTTTCTTTACAGATCATCCTGAGAAAAAACAAATATCTTTACAACAACCCTCTCAACTTGTGAGACTTCAGAAGACGACTTGACCTGTCTTATATAGTATTTTTTTTTTAAAACCATTTTAATGATACAAACTATTATTAAGGATATGTTTTAAACTGTCTTTTTTTTTTTTCACTATTGCATAATCAATTCGATTGCACCATTTATCATCCCTCCTAATCGTTATTGAAATCATTAAAACTAGGAGTAGTTTGCTGATATGTAACAAATTTATTGAAAGTCTATCTACTTTAATTATTAATATGACCCATCAATAGTATTCAATAGACTTTAAATTGATGATACTATCATTGACAGTTGTTTGCTGTTGAAGACAAGTTTTCCACTAATGAAGAGAGTACTGTCAAGTGTTAATTTAGGTAATTTTGATGCATACATACGTTTAAATTGAATTAACAAAGCAGATGACCACAAAGAACATGAGAAGACTTATCTTGATCAGATGAAAGATGAAGACACAAACACACTATATATGAAACTTGTTGTGCCATTTCATTACTTTGGAACAAGACCGATGGTGAATAGCCTGAGACACTTGCAATTAGGAAGCAATATCCTCAACTTAAATGCCTTCAACAATCTCATAGGTGTTGACTGGGGCTAACTGCTAGCCCAATTTTATGTATAAATGATGAATCAAAGTATATATCATATCCCTTGCTTCTTGCCCCTGCAGTATTTATAATGATATGTTACAGGCTGATATGTATGTGTCAATAATCTTTGATATATTGAAGCTTGTAAGAATTGGGACTAGGAGGAATACATATTCTTCTTTACATGTCAAAGAAGCTTTTGGTTCAAAGTTTGGTCTTTTTCTATAAAGTCCTGTTGCGTTTAGGAGGTCTAAACTTCGAAAACCGAAACATGTTCACCGCAAATAAAACTCATCTTACTGAGGTATATTCATGAATCCTTCAGCAAGAAACAATCCGGCATAGTCATTTCAAACATTAACAATGCATTTCGAATTACATTACCAATCTCAACAACTCGTTATAAAATAATTCATTACTAATGCAAGTCATGATAATCGGAGTCAATGGTCAGTAGCTTCATCTTCCGCTCCACAGAGTCCGTTGAAGCATTGCAATGCGAAGATATCCACAGTGCACAAGGAGCAGGCTTATCGCACACGTAACAGTAACACTGCATAATAATTGTTTGACGACCTCTCTACTGTTAAAATAATGTCTATCTCTAAGCGATAAAACATATAAGTTTCATAATATTGCATACTTTATTTTTTCTCTACTTGAGATATATATTAAAAGTAAAGAATGCATAAATTACCATATCACAGTGAGTTGCATTAGAAGTTGATCCAAAGGGAAATTTCAAACATAGATGTCTTGGATGTGGGTAATCTCTACAAGCAACCTGCTCAAGAGAGATCTCAATCACATTTTCAAAACAATAAACATATAACTAAACCCTAAATTTGATTTTACAAAACCCTAATTTTAATAACTCGAACCTGTCCTGTCTCATGGATGATGGCAAGATCTTTATCACCGGAAAAGGTGAGCCTCTTAACGTCTAACGAATCAAAAGGATTGAAATCGAGGATGAAGCAATCCTCTGTCTTCTCGAACCTCTTCATGTCTTGTCTTTTTTTCACACATAAAACGCTTCTAAGAGGACTCTCGTCTTCTCTCAAAGATGGTGTCGTTGTTCTCGCCTCCCTCTCCATTTCCTCTCTACGAACCAAATCGCAAAGATCTAGTGGAAGACCAAACGTTGCAACCAGAACAAGGGTCTCTCTATGTTTTAGTAATAAAAGAGTGGTCTCTCTAGACTTTTTTTTCGTTCTTTTCCCCAAACAGAATCAAGATGACTGATGAGAGGAAGGCCTTTATGTTTTTTTCTATAATGGGCCAACTGGAAGGCCCAAACTACAAATTGCAATCTGAAATAAAATCAAACTTTTGTATGTTCGGCATGAATAAAAACTTGGTAGGATACAGTATTAAGGAATTGGTTGGTTTATGAAGTTATGAATTATGATATATACAAGGAAAATTCGGAAAAATATCCTCAAGGCTCAAACAAAAGTTACAAAAACAATTGCTTCAAAACACCTACAGAAATACCAAAAGTAGTAATACGAAATATACTTCGTTAACCAAAAACGATGCACATTATATTATGTTTCGATTTGGTCAAACCAAAACGACGAGTTTTTTTTTTTTTTAGTTTGATTTAAAGGTTATTTTGCATCTTTTTGTAAGCTGAGAATGATAATTTTGCAAAAGCTGTAGTTTGAAGGGGTTAAATAAATAAATAATAATTCTCTAATAGCAATTATTGGAGATATTTCCAAGTTGACTAAAAAACGAAGCAGCACGAAAATATGGACTGACGTGCAAATAGTAAAATGGAACATGTACATGCATGGACCATGGTTTGTGATGGTTGGTTGATATTGAGTCGAGTCAGACAAAATTGTACTTGTATATAACTAAATGGTTCAAAAAAAAAAAAAAAAAAAAAAACGAATGGTTCAATAAATTTCATGATTCGAAGGGGACGTATGATTTGGACTTTCAGATTAAATAGTTTTGCTGCCTCTTCTTAATTCTTTCTGGTCTATTTGCATGTCGTTGTAAAATTTATGTGAACTGTGCCCACAATATGTTCAGGTGTATAGTGTTTAGTGTTATATATTTCAATATACATTTTTTTTTTTTTTGGTAAAATATTTCAATATACATAATAAATTGTGAATGCAAATAGTGTGTTAAAATCATGAGTTACAAATTGTTTTTTTTTAAAGATGAATCTATAAAATTCTCTAACTCGTTGGTTAAAGATAACATGTAGCTTTCTAAGCTCAGGTTCTCAAACACTATTCCGTTTGCTTATGTGCAATGCAAAGTCGATTAGTCAAAACTTCTTACAATAGATAAAGTTATAGATAAAACTTGAGGTCATAGTTCGAAAACGAAATAATTTTTTTTTTTTTAACTCATATATTTTAACCTCTTGAACAAGAGTTTTTACATTGGAGGATTTCATTTTGTTACTCTGATTTAGTTACAGTTAAGAACTTAGTAATAACGATCAAAGCATATCCACAGAATTGAATGAAAGGCAGATCAGAGAAGCTCATCTATATAAGGAGGGGAGTTATATCTCTCATATGCATGAAAACAGTATTGTACTAAATCATTTTGTTGTGATTTTTATGTCGAGCAACCACCCAAAAGGATACAACTCAATTCCATTTTTCTATTTCTATTTTACGTTACAATAATTTATTTAGGTGCCAAAGGTAACATGTTTACATCCCATAAACACTATTTTATTAGATGTAAATTTTTTTTAATATATTTGATGATAAATGGAACGTTCTGTGATAATGACATATTAACACGGTAGTAGGTAGGAAGGACTTTGGGATTCATTATTTTCTTAATAAGACTTTGAAAATTGAGATACCTTCCAAAATTTTTTATTTTCTTTTCCAAACCCAATTGATATTGATAGACTCCTTTATAGATTAAAAGCTATAGTACTAATCCTTGACTCATATCTTAACTCTACTATAATTAAGAAAATTAATCATCTAATTGAACTAGGGTACAGCTTTAAAAATTGTCACATGCTTCGATGATCTCAGTACGTTAATGGTGGATAATAACTTGACTACATGATTTAAATTCCACAATATACTGAGCACATCAAGTATTACCTAAAAAAAACCTTATAAATCCACAAAAACGTTATTTTATTATAAACCTATCAATTTCGACGATAAAAAATGCTATTGAAATAAAAATTGAATTTTAGTATAATAATTTTTATATGAACAATCAATTTCTTTGGTGAATAAAACCTATCAATTTTAAACGGACACAAGAAAATCATTATGTACTTACTAGTCGAAATCGAGAGAAAGAAAAAACACCTAATACGTGTAGCAGAGAGATGTACGTTTTTAGTTACTTTAAGGCAATAAGAAAGTGTTCTGAGATGTGTTCACAATGAACATCTTTTCAAAGGAGTAGGTGAGAGATGCTTCTCTCTTATTGTGCTACGACATTTCTACTCAATCATTACGTGACACGTGTCCCGTTTGAACATAATTCATTTTTTTAATCAGAAAAAAAATTGTAAGAATTTTTGCCATTTTATTTCTATGGTGGCTCTGGTTGTGGTAGGTGAGAAAAATATCAAAGATATATACATGTTTTTGGTTAAACAATTCAATGAAATATGAACCAACTCTATATGACTAGCAATGGCACTGTTTTATCGATTAGTTTAAAATTAGTTTAAAATTCGTTTAAAATTTTTTGAAGATTACCTTACTCAATTCCATTACTTTGAAGATTAGAGTTATTTCCAAAGGATCTCATTTGTATACAGTATTTGACAATGTCATATAGTATAAATTTAGGAAGTAGTGGAAATCAAATGGTTTGTTAAGTGTTCTTTTTCTTCTTTAATATTGATGATGAATATATAATATCTAGTAATTAATGGGAACACAACTACACAAGTAATGATTACAGTATAGCTTATAAATCGAGTTTAAGTTTATAAGATGCGATATAGTATATATTTACGAGTGATGGTTCTTTTATATGTACCTAGCTACTTATTTTCATAATTTCTAGCTACTCTTATAGTTCATGTACGTAAGAACATTTAAGATCAAACCAGTGATCTAGCTAGAGAGTACTGAAGTACATAGAAGGGACTTCACTTATTAGTTCTCTTCCATACATTGATACATCATACATACATCATTCAAGACAGGACGGTGTAAAGCTTGAGATGGTGTCAAGCATTTCGTCAGAGCACTAGTCTTTAGTACCACACTTGGCACTATACAAATATTTTTAAAAAACAAAAAAAAAAAGTGTTACGTATATGTATTTTAGTGAAGAAACGAACACTATTGTGCCGAACTAATTTGGTTAGAGCAGTTTTAGGTGAAACTTTTTCAATACTTTTATTTATATTTTTTTGACATTCTATGAAAGCAAATGTCAAGAAATGATTTAGCGTTGAAAAATATGATAACGATTTTTTTGAAGGAAAAACTAAGACCATCCTCAATGGTCAATTCTTATAGTAATCTTTAGTGTATTAGCATTTAAATATAAATCAAAATACACATAATTACCTAAGGATCGTATCTTATATAAGATTAAAAATTGGGTGTAAGAGGCGCATACGTGGCAAGGTTTGATTGGGTGTTATGAAAAAAAAATAATTCTCTCTCTCTCTCTAGCATCCAATCGGTCGAGCACATATAAACAAAACATTATACAAATCACTTTTAAATTAATTGTGCTTTGTGCTTATGTTATTTATGCAATAAATTGTATCTCATCTATATTTTTAGTTTTTATTTTCTAATAATTATTAACTTTTCAAAAATTAAATTGTTAATTTTTTAACTTTTTTATTTTTATTTTTTAATCCTAAGATCCACTACTTAAGAACCCATCAATGATTCTGCAATAAAACATAAAAACTTAATTACATTTCTTAACATCACTTTTTACAAATAAATTAATAAACAAATCACAAGATTTTTTTTTTAAAACCTAGCATTGAGGATGCTCTAAGAAATGAGTTTTAAAGAACAAAGTGTGGCGGTCCTCCGGTCCCCTCAGTCACCAAACTTATCATGTCGTCGTCGTCGTCTCAAGTCTCATTTCTCTACCCTTATATATATTAATCACTTTGTTTATTTGATTAATATATCTAATCTATTCTTATAAACTGATATTCAACTTAAAGTTTTATGTTAATAGTGGACTCTAAGACTGCACGAACTCAAGATGAGCCATATAATTTGCTTTAGATTGTCAAATATGTTGATTAATTAGTTAAGACTTTTCAACTTTCCTTCAGAATATCTACTATTTTTACCAAATCCTAATAACATAATTTTATAGTATTTTAACAAGTAATTAGTTTTTTCACTAAATATTGCATATAATCCTTTTAATCAAAATGAGAAAGTTAATAATGAACCTTAATTCATGGTTATGTAGTGGTTGAAAGGCTTATTTTTAGGGGGTTGAGAGATCAAAACTGAGTCTTTTCTTTTTTAAGTTGATTTTTTGATAATGATTGGTCATTATTAATGTCTTAAGTGACAAAAACACACTCTGGAATCTCTGATTAAGATAGCATTGAATTAAAACCTATAATCAATAAAGAAATTACTATCCGCTTTATACAAAAAAATTTATTTATGATAGGTCTTGTTTATATATAAGAGAAATCTGATGACAAATTTTATGTTAACTTAATATATTTATATAAACCTAACTAGAAAAAAAAAAACTGTTATGTTAGAAAATTTGATAGTAGAGTTATACGAGTGACACACCTAACAAGATATTAAGCACAGTTTGTTTTCTTTAATATATTAAAATGACATATGGTTACAAGAATATGACAACCTCATTAGTCATAAGTCATAACACACTTACGCAACGTCAAATACAATTTATGATACGTTTAGATATAAACCTACCCCTCATAAAAAAATCAGTTTTTAGTAGTACATGAAATTGTGAAGTACTACTTATGTATCACTAAAAATAGCATAGTTGTTCTTCTTTCTTGTCACCCAATTGAATAGCTGTTTAGCAAAGTTTAACATAACGTAATATATTACTTGAGTTGTAATTTAGTTTATTACGTAATTCAAGTTTAAAATCTAGTTGAACTGTAATTTGTTTTTCTTTACAACGGATCTTAATAATTTGTTTGGATGTATTATATCAGAAATATTTAACAATGGCATATTAGGCCGTAATATTATTTTATTACTAGTTTTTAGACATTAGGGACATATTTAATATGGTAAAATACAAAAAAAAAAAATGAAATGACTCGACTTTTAATTGGACCAAATCATGTAGCCAGATCAGAATTTTGCGTTAAAATATGCCAATCGTCTACCTTCTATAATATATTTTTCATATAAATAAACATCTCTCTCAACCTCCACTTCTCACCCATCACACACAATCCTCGTTACAAAAAAAAAAAACAGAGCAATCTTTCTAGAAAATACTCAAGATCTCACTAAGAATGGGTTCAACGGCGGAGACACAAATAACTCCGGTGCAAGTCACCGACGACGAAGCTGCCCTTTTCGCCATGCAGCTAGCTAGTGCCTCGGTTCTTCCGATGGCTTTAAAAGCCGCTTTGGAGCTTGACCTTCTCGAGATCATGGCCAAGAACGCTTCTCCCATGTCCCCGACCGAGATCGCTTCAAAGCTACCGACCAAAAACCCCGAAGCTCCTGTCATGCTCGACCGTATCCTCCGTCTTCTTACATCTTACTCCGTCCTCACCTGCTCTAACCGTAAACTCTCCGGCGACAGCGTTGAGCGGATTTACGGGCTTGGTCCGGTCTGCAAGTACTTGACCAAGAACGAGGATGGTGTCTCGATCGCTGCTCTTTGTCTCATGAACCAAGACAAGGTTCTCATGGAAAGCTGGTAAGATTTGTTTTCGATACTTCATGGATTCTTATTTTTTTCAATAGATCTTATGATTAAGTTAGAAATATTCTCTATATCTTTTTTCGTTAATGTTGTTTCATAGGCTATATGATTCATGGTTCATGTGATTGAAATGTAATTGTGCAAAGGTAAAGGTGACAGAGATAGGCACAAAGTGTCAAAGACAATCAGACAAATAAAGACACAACGACACGTATACCACTATAAAACTATATAGTATACAATTCTTTTAGTGGTTAAACAACCTCCTAGACAAAACAAAACAAATATTTGTATACAATTCTTTTAGTGGTTAAACAACCTCCTAAACAAAACAAAACAAATATTTGTTTTGTTTACAAAAGAAAGAAAATTATAAAAATGAAAGAAGCACAATTTGTTTTTTTTTTTGCACAAAACACTCTCTTACTTGTAAATTATTTTAATGTTATTGGCTTTAAATATAGAACTTCTTCTGATTACTGCGAGTAGCAAAAGAGGGATATAGAATAGGAATCTATTAGGAAAAGAAAGAATCAGTCTTTGGATTATTGAGCTACAAATAAAAGAAAACAGAACATTTAAAGTTCTGGTTTTGGTTTTCTTGAACCGGCTGGTTCTCTTTTCCATACCGGTACCTCTTTCTCAAAAATTACGCATTCTAATTAACTTGACGTGTAGTATCTAGTTTAAGAGTATGTATGTGTGTGTTGGTGTGTGTGTTTACTTAAACTCATGCAAAAGAGACATGATTCAGGTACCATTTGAAGGATGCAGTTCTTGATGGTGGGATCCCATTCAACAAGGCTTATGGGATGAGTGCGTTCGAGTACCATGGAACTGACCCTAGATTCAACAAGGTCTTCAACAATGGAATGTCTAACCATTCCACAATCGCCATGAAGAAGTTTCTAGAGACCTATAAGGGTTTCGAGGGATTGACTTCTTTGGTTGATGTTGGTGGTGGCATTGGTGCTACCCTCAATATGATTGTCTCCAAGTACCCTAATCTTAAAGGAATCAACTTTGATCTCCAACATGTCATCGATGATGCTCCTTCTTATCCCGGTATATTACATTTCATCGGATACAATTTTTATTTTTTTTAAAGATTGTTATCTTATTTCTAATAATAATTAATGTAGGTATCGAACATGTTGGGGGAGATATGTTTGTAAGTGTCCCTAAAGGTGATGCCATTTTCATGAAGGTTAGTAATTAATCAAGTTTTTTTTCTAAGACCAAAGTCAAGACTAACCTCATCAAGGTAAATAGATCTCAAAGATTTGTGTTCTCATTGTTGTAACAGTGGATATGCCATGACTGGAGCGACGAACACTGCGTGAAATTCTTGAAGAACTGCTATGAAGCGCTTCCAGAGGATGGGAAAGTGATATTAGCAGAGTGTATACTTCCAGAGACACCAGACTCAAGCCTCTCGACCAAACAAGTAGTCCACGTCGACTGCATTATGTTGGCTCACAATCCCGGAGGCAAAGAAAGAACTGAGAAAGAGTTTGAGGCATTAGCCAAAGCATCAGGCTTCAAGGGTATCAAAGTTGTCTGCGACGCTTTTGGTGTTAACATTATTGAGTTGCTCAAGAAGCTCTAAGAAAAATGTTTTTTTATGTACACGTCTACATCTACAATTCACCACCTTAATTTGTTTTACTCGTGTTATTGTTCTCTATAAACTATTGTGTTTAATAATGTATGGTTTATTAAGAATTTGATTAGAGTTGGCTTTTTACATTTGGTTATAAAAATATTGTACTTTGTCACTTTGTTTATGTAATTGTAAGAAGAATAAAATCATGATCATGAGCTTTTTTTTTTGTTTGTTTGACTTCAAACATTGAGCTATTATTGAATCAGTCAAAATATTATCTGATAGAACCAATCAATCTCACATTCAGACAATCATCCACGTGGACTCTGTGTTCGTTCACCGACCAAACTAGTTTCAACGAATCTTCATCAACTCAAAACTTCTCAAACTTATCTTTCTTTTTCTAGACTCTTCTAGCTTTGCTTCTCTCGTTACCGTTTGTTTATAAATAGTTACGACTCCTTCATCTTAATCTCGTCAAGAAACAAAAGTTTCAAACAAAAGCTACAAAGATTTAGATCAAAACACCAAATTCAAATTCAGAAGATGATGTCTATTTTTAGCCCCTTTGAAGCTCTTTACGCTGAATCCAATGGCTTCAAGATGAAGTTCTCCGGTGATCAGAAACAGAGCTCCGGTGGTGATCAGTCGCTGGAGACGGAACAACACAAGAACGCCGGGAAAACTCCGATTTCCTCTCAAGACGAAAAGAGTAGTGACAAGAAGAAGAAGATCCAACCGCTGAGGATAGCTCCAGAGCTTGATGGTGTTCATTGTTTTGAGACAATTCTTCCTCTTTAATGATCATGCATGATAAAAGTTTTATTTATTTCTTGTAAAAAATATATATTCCTTTGTATAAAAGATTTTAATCAGACAGCATTATTCCAATTCTACAAACTAATATGGAATCATCTGCCTTTTGGATTATTTTCAATCTAGTAGAGACGAATCTAAGTCCGTAAGTTTTATCTATAATTCTTGGTTTCAAGATTCTATGAAAGTAGTAGTCTGATGACTCTGACTTGTTGTTCCTTCTAGCTGACGTTTTCTTCCACCATTACTAAACCTCTTCCCAAGCCCTAAAAGAAACGCAGGAGGAACAAAAGCCCCTCCACTCAAACTGCAGACAACCGCAACAGCTCCACCGATGATCAACAGTTTCTTCAAATTCGCAGCTCGGTTTCCTTGGTTCAATGTAACCGGAGTTTCAGTGACAGGCGTTGCGCCGTTGCTGAGCGAAATGAGATGTTCTGATGTGACCTTGGCGTTGATTTGAGCCATGAAAGCAGGCCGAGAAAGCTTGGTTCCTCCTTCTGCGAGTCTTTGTGTTTGGTAAGCACGTAAACCGGGTTCCATCTTCTTCACTGCTCCCCACATTCCTCGTTTCACTCCAAGCTTTGCGATTTCTCTCGGTATCCCCATGTCTTCGTGGTGGAATAGAAGCACTTCGCAGGCACTTGTTACTCCATCCTCTCTTCTTGATTCCACTGCATATTGGGAAAAATGTTAACACTTTGTTTTTGACTTATTCAGTTCTTGGAAGATCATAAAGTGGTGGTGGATGTGGATCATTACCTGGTCGAATGCACCAGCTCGAGTAGAACAAATCCACACGTTTTTGTTTGTTGTTAGGCGGTAAAGAAGGAACCGATACTCCCTGAACCAAGAATAAGAAATGATCTTAGAGTGTTGCTTTTTCTATATAACTTCCCAAACTAACTGATTTAGATTCAACTGCAATAAGAAACTAGCCTGTTCTTTGTTACTTCTACTCTATATGACATCAATGTAAACGATTCCATTTTTGCTACTGCCAACTAGTACATACCTTTGTAACACAGTAATAAGAGTTGCCACAATTCCATATCCTGCGACCGATCACATACTCTCTATCACTGCAGAAGAATGGGAACTGCAACACAGGAACATACATAAAAGGAAAGATCAAACTAGGAACTAATCATCAAAATGTTACCAAAACAAAGCAAATAGAGAGACTAATTTACCTTTCGTATCCATCTAACAATCATAGTTCCGGTACTTGTACACTCTTCAACAGTTGTGGAATTAGAAAGCATTGTATCCCAAGTTGGTCTAAACTCATCATCCCAGAAAAAGTCTCTTAAAATCTCAGGAGTTGCATCTTCAAACACAGTTCTGCTTCTATACTCAGTAGGACCATTCTAAAACAAAACACAAAAGACACATCAAGATTCAAAAGGCAAAGAGAAACAAATCTTTATCTACAAAGTTCAAACACACAACACAAAGAAGAACTAATAATTTACCTTAGGTTCTCTCAACCAAGCTTGATATCTCATACCAGAAGTGAAACGATCCATCATCTGAATCCAAGCTTGACCACCATCTTTCCTCTCAACCAATTGCACAAGATGTCTCAAATCTAACTCCGTTACAGTATTAGGCAATCTCTCCTCTGTTTTCTTCACTCTACACAAACCAAAAACACAAAATCAACAAACCAAACAAACAACATCCATTTTAATCACACAAGCCTCAAATTAACTAACTCACCTTGAAACCAAATTCAAATGTTGTTCAGAAGAATCAGACGATGATGAAGAACAATCAGGAGAAACTGTTCTCTGTTGTCTTAAAGCCATAGTCCATGTATCACAAACAAGAGCCTTTAAGCAAGGAGCTGACCCAAAACCCTTTAATGGAGAAGAAACAGAACTAGAAGAAGGAGATGGTAAAGACAAATCAAAAGATCTCGGAGCAGAACAACGCAATTTTACTTCTCGATCACCAGAAGAAGAAACCCATCTCGGCTTCCATACCCATCCAATGATCAATCCAATAACAAAAGCTAACCATCCTGTGATTAGCCCTAAGATTATACTCTCAAGCAAAGCCATAACTTTACAGAGGATAAGTTAGAAAAAAGGATAGAGCTTTATATAAGTTGAAAACTTAGAAGAAATGAAAAAAAAAAAAAAAAAAAAACGAATCTTTGTTTTGGATAAAGATCAAAAAATTTCACGAGAGAGGCGGTGAGAGAGGAAGAAGACAAAAAGAAAGGGACACGAGTGGTGAAGAAGAAGAAGAGATTAAATCTGTGGTTAAAGGGTTATTTCGTAGACGCTAAGTAGTAGTAGCCATTGATGGGGAGCTTTTGAAAGGTCATTGCTTTTTTAAGAGGCAGAGAAGAAACTATAACAAAAATGGTGGACGGAGAGTGTGAAACGACGACCACCGTCCATCAATAAGGACCATTTCTAAATTTTGATTTTGGAGAAGGATGAAGAGTTCAAATCTTGTAGGGTTTATTTTTCTTTCCCTAAATTAAATTCTGAGTTTGATTAGTCCTTTTTTCACCTTTTTAATACCGTAACGTTTATTCAATGTCATATTTTATAAGTATGACTATAGTATTAAATATTTGACTTTTTCTTTTGAGAAGACTTTGACTATGGTGTTTGTATTCACTAGCATTATTAACTCATCTCTCTCATGTTCCACGTTTTGATCATCTACATGTCTTTTCATCTTTTCGAACTAATTTTCTCATAATTTTCACCGATGGTGACACTACTCTATATCGTTGATGTAGTCATCACCACTACTACCACTTCTGTTGTTGTCATCACCACAATTACAAATTGTGATTATGGACGGTAGTATGAATGTATGATGTGGTATTGGTGGGTGAAGCAGTCGTGATTGTGTAATAAACTAAAATAAATTGATAATTGATGATACGGTAATGATAGTTGCGGCGGACTTGCCGATGATTTGGTTGGCAGTGGTTTAAATGATCTTTTTTAAAAAATGGTTATGATATGATATGTATGTATATAATAGTTTTCATAATCTATTGATTCTATTCAGTGTTTATGTACTTAATAATGTTGACGGCGTTATATTGTATGGTTTTTTAGCGTTGATTGGGTTTAATTGTAGCTTTTTTTAATTGGAGGGTTGATTTGCATATTATTGAAGGTTTTAAGGAGTTAGTTTTCAATTTTCCCATATTAAACGTAATGGAATATGAAATCTCACCAGGCCCAATAGGACGACATTGAACAACGTTTTAGTTATCAAAGTTAAACCCAAAGTACAACCGTTAAATCAAAAACTTGGGTTTTGGTGGATATAGCCATTAGCCATGGTGATCTTATCATCTCTCGTCTCTTGTTCCGTCTCACCGCCGACTAATCTCCGTCTTCATCTCCCGCCGTTTACAGCTCTCTGTTCCTATGGAGCCTTCCCTGCTTCTTCTACATTTCGGTCTGAGCTACGGCCATTGCATCTCCGCTGCTTAGATCGTCGGGAAACAGCTCTTATTTTCCGATGTAGTTGCCTTAGTTCTCCGATTGATGCCGGAAGTCAAATTGGTAGGTGAATCTGATATTCTGATACTTCTCTTCCGTTAAATGTTTTCATTTGTTTTCTTTGGAGCATATTCACAAACACTTGGTGTGCGTTTAATCAGTGGCTTCTTTCACTTTTCAGAGTCTCTGTTTTCGTTATTCCGAGATATTGGGTTTAGTGAAGAGGAAACTGAGATGATTTTAGCGAAGAACCCAGATATAAAGTCGGCACCTTTGGATACAATCGGTGCTCGCGTTGCTTCTCTTCAATCTCTGAAAATCAATGGCTTTGCGCTTCAGGGTTTGATAGCAAAGAGTCCTAATTTATTGACTTCCGAAGAATTCGATGTCGTTAATAGTTTCTTGGTTGATGAACTCGAAGGAAGGCTTGAGCCTGAACTACTTGAGCGCTTACTTGCTGTGGCAGACACATCTATCTTGCTTAGTTTCAATCAGAAGGTGAGATTGCTTATCCTCCATGGTATACCCAAAGAAAAGATCTCTCACGTGTTGAACAAAGTATACTTAAATAAACTGCTGTATCAGAAATCAGTTGAAGACATTGAGAGATTGATTAGTTTCTTGGAACCTTTTGGTGGAATCGGTATAATAGCGAGGCGGCCAGTGATTCTCAATAGTGACTTGGATAGTCAGTTGATTCCTAGGGTAAATTTCATTAGGGATCTAAGCGGGGAAGACGATTTCGCCACTGGAACTGTGCTACGTAGACTTCCTGCCATATTGAGTTACAGTGTTGAGCATATGAACAGCCATGTTGAGTTTCTTAAGTCTTTTGCTGGCTTGACGAGCGAACAAGTGTTTAAGATTGTTCATGTGTTTCCTAATGTTATCAGCACTAGTAAAGAGAGGAAACTGAGACCGAGGATAGAGTTTCTGAAGGAATGTGGTTTTGATTCCGCCGGCATGTTCAAGTTCTTGAGCAAAGCACCGTTGTATCTAGCACTGTCTGAAGATAATCTCTCGCACAAACTCGGGTTTCTGGTGAAGATTGGATATAGGCATAGAACAAAGGAACTGGCTTTTGCGATGGGAGCTGTGACCAGAACAAGCTCTGACAATATGCAGAGGGTAATTGGACTGTACTTGAGCTATGGTCTTTCGTTAGAAGACATTCTAGCTATGAGCACAAAGCATCCTCAAGTCCTGCAGTATAATTATAGTTCTTTAGAAGAAAAACTGGAGTATTTGATTGAGTACATGGGACGTGAAGTCGAAGAGCTTCTTGCATTCCCTGCATTTCTAGGGTACAAGCTTGACAGCAGGATCAAGCATCGGTACGAAGAAAAGTTGAAGAGCAGAGGTGAGAACATGTCTCTTAACAAGCTTTTGACAGTATCAGCTGAAAGATTCTCTAAGGCAGCAGAAAGTATCGAAATGATTTGTTTATGATTGAGTGACAAAAAGAAACTACAAAGAAGTCGAGTTGATTGAGAACTTACAACTGAGAGTTTAGTTTACAATTTTCTCACTTGGATAACGACATTAATACTTTACCTGCTTTGATTTATAGATTTAAGCTATAAGCTTTTGTATATTCATTAATGTT